AAAAATGTCGCATTTCACCCAATCACCAAAAACTCATCGGATATCGACGAAGCTCGACGCCGCGGTCACGCCCAAAGTTGTTTCACTTTCCAAATCGTTTTTTTTCGAAAGATATCGCGAAAAACAAGATTGATTGTGAATATTTACCCGAACGGACCATACGTCGCGACCCTGGAGTGTCTGCCTGGCGTACCTGCTTCGATGTTGCAAGAAAAAAAAAAAAACTACATGTACACGACAGGAAGCGAACCGCAAGAAAAAGAAACAACCATGAACTCTACGTCGCGACAAATCCTCTAATGTCTGTCTGGCGCACCCGCCTAGCGGAATGCGCTGCGNCGGTAGACAAGTTCGTTCCAGCCAGCAGTGCTGTCATGTCTTCCACCGCGTCCAATCGAAGAGCCTCTACCACCTCCTCGTCGTGCTCGATGATAGCCCACCCTTGAATCGCGGCCACCGCTTCCCCCGCGACCGGCTTTCCGGGTTCGATGTTGAGTTCTGCCAACAGTTCGCTGATCTCCTCGTCCACGACGCGGGATCCCTGCTTCTGCGCGTCCTGCACGCTCGTGCTCAACGTGTTGACAGTCTCTGCGAGAGCCTTCAGGTCAGGCTCGGCGACGTTGAACCGGGTCTTTCCGTGTTGCTTGGTGAGCTCAGCCGCCATCTCCTCCGGAAGCGTCTCGGCTTTGACAAAGCACCTGGCCAGGTANCTCTGCGAGAGCCTTCAGGTCAGGCTGGGCGACGTTGAACCGTCTTTTTCGTGTTGCTTGGTGAGCTCAGCCGCCATCTCCTCCGGAAGCGTCTCGGCTTTGACAAAGCACCTGGCCAGGTAGCGCAGAAATTGTGATGCATCCGTGTTTGGGTGGAGAAGCGAATGTTAGCGCCGTTTTAAACTGACCCACTTTTTGTCAAAATATTTGAAAGTGTCAAAAAAATGGAACCTGTATGTAGGCGTTTGTCCATTTTTTTCAAAAATATTTGGAACGAAGTTGGGCGCGAAAACTTTGCTCCACTTCGTTCCAACTTTTTGACAACCCTCTCAAAGTATTTGGAGCACTTTCCAAAGTACCCTTGCAGAGGCACGCGAGGGCTGCTGCGTCTGCACCACGAGTGCCCCTCACCGTAGAAAGTCAGCTAGGGTTGTGTGTGGGTCATGGCCGACCGTAGAAAGCGCGGCGCGCCTACAGATTCGAGCGGCTCTCCTCGCCCACGGGCACGCGCAATACAAAAAAGAAAAACGGCGGTCCGCCATGATGGCTTGCAGTTGTTGCTTCGCGTCCGCCGCTTTGTTTTTTCCTTTTCCCGGGGGGGTAGGAGCAGTGGTTGCCACCCCTCGCCGGCGGAGTGTTGGTGGCGGCAGCGCCTCCCGCGGTAACATGAGTGTTCCCCGAGATGCCAGGCAGCAGCACTATCTTGCTGGAGAGCAAGCCTCCACCGCCTACGGCGGCACAGAGAGAGCCCATCTGCTGGAATTTCGCCGGGGTTTTTGTCTGCCGGCCACGCTGGGTGGTTGTGATATCCATGTCGGTGTCCATGATGTCGTGTTTTCCGCGGTTTGTGTTGTGTCGTCTGTGTTGTCTCGAAAGTCGAAAATTTTGACAAAAAAGTCGGTCCGTTTAAAACGGCCCTTAGACGAACCCAGTGACAAACAATGACTCATGGGGATGCGAGAGAGGGCCTTTTTTTAGCAAAGAAACAAGGAGATTTGCGGTTGCGGGGATATTCAGTCGAAAAATACAACCTATCCGTACAACCTTACCCACGTAACGTAACACCAAAGCCATGCGCACTTGCGCGAGCTACATCAAATTTACTTTAAACAGCGGTATCACATGTTCAAACCTCACCTGGCGATGTCTTGGGCGGTGACGTTGGCCCATGCTTTCTGGAGAAGTTCAGCGGCGTCCCGCACGTGAGGTTGGTGCCCTTGCGCTAGCCCCAATAAACCGAAGCGAGCACTTGAAGCGGTCTGCAATCTGTGCGTGATACACCTTCTGATCCAGCATCTGATATCTTCAGAATCTCGAGCTTCTTGTTGTTGTCCAGCCGCGCACGAGAACCCGTTCCGTTCTTGCTTCCCCCGCTCGTCTGCTTCTGGCGTTTTTTAGATGGTCCCGCCCCAGCACCCTTAAGTTGGTGTCGCTTTGCGCTTGCTAGTCCTGGCGACACACGTGCTGCAGATGCGGTGCTGCTCGTTGTCCTCAAACACGCTGCCGCAATTGCCGTGGAGCCGCCCGCCACATCCTCCCTTGCAGGGGTGGCCATGAGGGGGTTGCGGGGTCCTGTCTCGTTGAAGGCACAGTTCACCTTCCGCACAAGGCATGGTGCGTCTCTGCGTAGAACTCTTCGGGTCTGCAGCAGCACGCGTACCCTCTGTGTTGCGTGTGTCCGCTGTCTTGTGTGTGTGCTTTTATTATTAGCATCGACCGCGCTAACCGGCTGACCAATGAAAAGACGTCAGTCTTAGTGCGGTTGAATTTCGCTCACGCTATGGATTCATTGCTCATCTATCTCAGACTATTTCTATAGGTAGAGATGGATTTGTTGTGTGATATTAAGAAAAAAAAAAAACACTTCTATCTACCATGAACTGGGACCCCGTGAGGGGGTAGCATGGGGGAGGCTCTATCCTTCGGATCAAAAACAGAAACAGCAGCAACAGAAGAAAACTGCACCCGTCTACCAAGGCTACATGATGTATTACCTAGTACTCGAGTTCGTTTAGGAGTACTTTCACCAGTATCCTCCNCTTTCGCTCACGCTATGGATTCATTGCTCATCTATCTCAGACTATTTCTATAGGTAGAGATGGATTTGTTGTGTGATATTAAGAAAAAAAAAAAACACTTCTATCTACCATGAACTGGGACCCCGTGAGGGGGTAGCATGGGGGAGGCTCTATCCTTCGGATCAAAAACAGAAACAGCAGCAACAGAAGAAAACTGCACCCGTCTACCAAGGCTACATGATGTATTACCTAGTACTCGAGTTCGTTTAGGAGTACTTTCACCAGTATCCTCCTTGTTTTCGCTACCATCATATTGTGTGTGTGTCAGAACCGGCACTATTGCGGGGCGCCGTGGTGCCCAATCGGCACTATAGAGGGGCCACCCTCAATAGTGTCGAACCGGCACTATTGAGGGTGCTTTCTGTGTCCAGAGATTTTGCCGGCACTATACCGGGCATCGGCACTATTTAATCGGCACTATAGCGGGCCCATAGGCAGGGCAACAAAAGTGAAAAACGACGCAATTTTGTTGGTCACAACAGCACATTCCGAGATGAAAAACGACCCCGAGACCATGAAAAACGACGACCTGTGATTGGGCCAAAGCACCCGGATTGGGCCGCTGCCGCCGAGACACATGACAACACATGATGACAACACCCAACACAGACCACAACGGAAAGCACAACAGCCCTCCCACAGCAACCGTGGAGCCAGCGCTCCCCATGGGCGAAATCCAGGATCAAAACCCAAGTATGGCGCACAAAAAGCGGGTCGGAAAACAAATGCGGAGAGGAGAGGATAGCTGCGCAGCAGTGCGCAGCAGAAGAACCAGGCGGCCGCGTTCGCAAGGATGCTTTCCCGGCACCCGCAAGCCCAGCCATCATCAAAGCGGCCACGGGTGAGTGAGGACCAAAGTGGGGAGGGAAGCAGTGCGGATGCTAGAAGCGCGTCATCCGCCGGCGATGTCGACGTTAGTGGGGGTTCTGGTGGTTCATCAAGCACGGCGGCACCAACCATAGGCGAGTCCACTCCACGTCCCGNTCACCTCCCGCCGGTACACAACAGCAGTCGCCTCCTCGCTTGGACTATGAGGGTGACCACTCTCGAGTAGATGGAGAAGCTCGGGCACCACCATTCTTAACCGTAGGAGAAGGATCCGCAACAGCACCAACAGAGCTCGTAACAACAACAACAACAACAGCAGCAGCAGCAGCAGCAGCAACAGCAACAGCAGCAGCAGCAGCAGCAGCAGCAGCAGCAGCAGCAGCAGCAGCAGCAGCAGCAGCAGCAGTGGCGGCGGTACCCGTCCCGCACCCTCCCAGCAAAGGCAAGGGTAAAGCCCGTGCTCATGAAGCCTCCCAAGCACGCGGGGGGGCAGCTCCAGCAGAGCTATCCTCTCCAATAGGTGAGGGGTCAGTACCAGCATCAACAGCACCGGCAATATCAGCGGCACCAGAGGCCGCAACAGGGGCAGCAACACCGGCACAACTCGCAGCAGCAGCAGCGGAAGTAGCCGCCGCCGCGGGGGCGGCAGCGGCGAGATCAACAGCAAGCAGAGGTCACGACCGCGGAGCACGCCAACAAGGACGAGGAGGGGGGCTGAGCGGCCGTGGAGGAGGTAGAGGAGGGGGATGAGCGGCCGTGGGGGAGGTGGAGGAGGGGGGCGAGGGGCAGCAGCGCCAGGTCGTGGAGCAGGAGGAGGTGGGGCTGGAGGAGCCGCCGGTGGAGGGGCCGGCGATGATGATACTTCAACATCCAGTGCGCAGGAACGCTTCTTTGAAGAAGTGAAGGACAAGATCGACCAGAGTATCACCCACGAGGGAGGTGGTGTGAAAGGCCGGTTCCCGTTTGACAACCCGCTCGTGCGTCCGAAGTGTGCCACTTTTCAGCCATCACCAGGTACGCCAGAGGAGTTGTTTTTTTTGGGGGGGGGGTAAATAGCTGCCTATCTATCTTTCTTTTCAGATTATATCGTCCAGAGAAAATACATCCCATCCCCCGGTAGGCTATTTTGTTTGTCTCGCGTGCCTGATGTTCTGCCATATCTACCTCACATTTACGCGCGCCCAGACCTACCGAAACTCGACCGGTTTTATCAGAAGGCGGTATTGGTATGGATACCGGAGTTCTTGTTCCCAGAGCTCCAGGCAGTTCCTTGTCCAGGATGTGGGGGCAAGGGCGCACCTGATGGCTGGAACCCT